TCTTTGTGTTTTTATTTCATGTTTATGACCACTTAATAAAAAACTGCGAAGAATAACGATTTTAATAGAATCATGAGTGATCATGACTGAATAAGATCTATGGAATTCTAAAGAATTTTTAATAACCTGAATTCTCATAATCTAGCGAGATTCGATGGCACGTCTATCGTCTAGTGCAGTATATATAGTGTTACAAATAGAAACACGAATTGACTTTATTTAAAATATTTTAATGGCCTTTGGCCTAACAAATATTAACTAACTTAAAAGCTTAAAACAAGGTTCAAAATAATGACGCTAGTATTCGAGCAAAGCTTCCGCACTCCGTGATGACCGTCGGCAAAAAGGGGCGAGTGACGCCAGCCGCCCTCCTATATAGCCCGGCGCGGCGTCGTCAGACCTTCTCTTCTAACACGGCCTCTCCTGACGGGGCTGCGTGCTCGAAGCCCTCAGCAGGAACTCGTGGATGGCTCAGCAACACTCACCGCGTCCCGCGGTTGTTCGACGTCACCATCGTCGATCTCTGAGAAGATACACACAATCTAAGAGACACTTATTTATATCGCGTATTAACAGTTGATCAAAATTCATATAGTTCATAAAAGCGTCAGATTATGTACCCAATTAGCCAAACAAGTCAGTCAGTCAAAACAGTCAACATGAACAGTTATCAACGCCACACAAAAGCGTTTCAAGTCACATAGGTTTTACACAGGTCTCTTCCCACGCAACCGAATACCCCGCACATACTCGCGTGTGCAAACAGGATTTACATCAGTCTCTAGCAGGTCACCCCAGATACCTAATAATGGCTGGATTTACACAGGTCTGCTGTCGGCTGCGCCACCGACTCACCCCAGAAACCACCAGTGTCAGGGTCAACCCAATACCATGCGCACAAGATTTATACGGGTCTCTTCCACTGAACACAACACGTAACGTAGTCAAAATCAATAAACACGGGCTTGTTTGGTACATAATCTAGCTCAAGAATAGGGAAAGATTATCTTCTCGATTGTCACAGCACCAACACACGACCAAGCGCATTCGCCGCGGCACCTCTGAAGGAACTCGCGCGATCGCGGTACGTGTAATCAGATTTGCGATTTCTGCAGAAGTCCCGTATGAGAGCTATAAACAATGCATACATCGTTTGAGTCATTATAAAATAAGCTAACGAATTACATACGAATCAGGACAGCTCCCTTCGTAACACATTATCAATTCTATTTTGAAATTGATGTAATCGAGCTCCTCCTACTTCAATACACATAAGTCGTAACAATCATAAAAGCAAACCTTTATTCGACAAATATTTTACTTTACCCACTTAAAACATATTTAACATAAGTCCATAAAAATAACATAGCTCTTGACACATTTTTTTTTTCACCCCACAAGCTCTACGATAACATGCCTCACTTAAATGACCCGATAAGGTAAGTTTTGGGTGAGTTTAAGTCGAGAGTCGAGAATACTGCAAATTAAGTGGTTTATGTAATAATTTATGTCCCGTTTGGGTTCACATTCTTATCACAAACATAGTTTTAACTTTTGGATAAGAAATACAGCAAAAAATATAGAAATACGTGGGAACTGATCGAGCTCCACAAGGCACTTGACATAATATGCGCCTTTGTTTACTCCAATATTCCAGAGGCCTGTTGACAGATGAGGGGTTATTAGGTATGTAAAATAACAAAGCAAATATAACAGCAATCGTACTACTAGTACCTTCAAAAAATGCAGTTAAAGATTACTCCTTTTCTAGTTAAAGCGGCGATTTGCGCAGTCTTTAGTGCGTAATTAGGAATGTATCTTCGGAAGTATCCTGCGAGGCCAAGAAATTGGCGAACCTGTTTGATATTACTCGGTCGTGGTGATTTAACTAACGCATCAATTTTATAATTGCTCGGTCTAACCTGACCATCTCTTATAATCCTACCCAAGTATTCTATTTCGTTAGTAACAAAAGTACATTTATTTAAATTAATTGAAAACCCTGTTTCAGTTAGCGTTTTCATAACCGAATCTAATAAAACGAGGTGTTCGTCAATCCCGACCGTCATTATTAATACGTCATCTATGTAGACCATGACTTTTCCGGCATCGATAAAAGATTTAAGCGTTTTAGAGATAGTCTTCTGATAAAATATAGGCGCGTTCGCCAAACCGTAGGGTACCTTGCAATATTCATACTGCGCCTCTGGTGTAACGAATGCGGTCTTATGAATCGACTCTTCTGCAACTCTAAGTTGATGGAAACCGGAAACCATATCCAGAGAGCTAAACCAGCGACCATTGCCTAGCCTGTCTATATAGTCGTTGATCAAGGGGAGGATATCTAGTTTTAACGGTTATTCGATTCAATGCACGATAGTCAACGACCATTCTATCAGAACCATCCTTCTTTTTTACGAGCAAGATCGGACTAGCGTGTTCTGAATCGGACTCGCGAATAATTCCTTTATCGAGCAGATCCTTCACTATAGTGCGTACTTTTAATTTTTCGCCATGCGATAATTTGTAGGGTCTATAGTACACGGGCACATCGGTTGTTAGTTTGATATGCATCTCACTATCTTTCACCGTTGTGGTCGCGGTACCACTTAAAAAGAAATCGGAATACTTGGTGAGGATCTCTAGTAATCGTTCTCTATTATTTCCAAATATCAACGTATTAACTTGATCGGACAAAGAAATCAAATTTACTTGCAGAATATCGTTTACAGTCGCCTCACTATGAATTATACGTTGGCTATCACCGGTCCTAACATATGTAATACCTTTCCTGTTTAGTACGTCTGTACCGATAATGACTGGCACACTCAAATTATTCCCACCCACCACATAAAAATCAATTTCTATCGTTATATCGCTAAACTCGACGGGTAATGTTACAAATGATTCCGACCTTATTTCCATACCACCCAAGCCGCGTAGCAACTGATTCGTAGGCTTTACTTGACACGGAAAATGCTTAACAACATTTTTTGACATTAAGGAAACACATGAACCACTATCGATTAGTACGTCTAATGGTATTCCCGATATGACCGCAGTCGTGACGTCGCGATTTTTATAACTGTCCGTGATTTCGCGACAAAAATTGACACCATTATTATTCCGAGAATTTGCGCGTTCCTTAGCAAAACAAGTTACCTCGGAATGACCTACCTTTTTGCAAAACCCACACTTTAACGGATCGCTACGAGATATCGTCGGTAACGCGATTGTTTTTTCGTTACTATAACTCGGGAGTGTATTCGACCGTTTGTTACAATTAAAACTCCTATGACCAAATTGATTACAGTCGTAACACCTTATTGATTTTAAGTCTTCGGAATCATATCGACGTTTTATCGGTTTGCGGTTCGAGTTACTATTATTAGAGGGTCGGTCAAATCGATTGAGACCATTAGAATACACTTTCCTATTATGGCTGTTAGAAGGTTTAACAAAGCTCGATAAAAACTCCACTATAGAGTCAGGTGATGATTTTGCGTTAGCAGCCATAGCACGAATTTGTGGATCTGCAATTCCACGAATGATAATAGCCGTAAGCAGCTTGCTACTGAGACCTTTAACTATGCGTAACCTTAAAAGTGATTTACGAGCATACTCAGCATATGTGGAGTATTTATCTGACCCTGTCCTCATTACATCATAAAGCATGTTCGCGACATCGACAGAACGTGGGCATAGCGCTTTTAGTTCTGATTTGAAATTGGACCACGTGCGAATACTGCTCGTCCATTGGCTAAGCCAGGTGCGAGATTCTCCTTTAAAACAATGTCCGACACGAGCAAGGCATTCTCTGTCGTCCCAATGGTTCGAAATACGGGCTCTTTCTACCTCATCACACCACGTGTCGAAGTCATGAACATTAGGATCAAAATCAGAGACAAAATATCGGTTAGATCTGACCTGAGTACTGCCGATAGCGGTCAAAAGACGCTCTACGGCGTTCGTCACCACGTCTTCAGACTGCGTTGATCCCACGTTGCCAGTGTGCGGAGTCAGCGGCGGCGTCCCCACTCGCGAGGGCACAGGCGCACGCGGCGGTGTAGGCATCCCGAACACCGATGCCGATGCCGATGGTGTCGTGTTTGGCAGCTCGAGGGCGCACCTAGGGCCCGAGCTGGTCGTTGCAATGGCTTGCGTCTCCACTGACGCACGGGGCTGCTCCTCCAGCACGCGTAGCCTCCTCAGGATCTCTTCCATCGGATTGGGCGAAGGAGTTTGCCCACGGCGTTTTTGTTTGTTGCGTTTATCGTTGCTAGGCATCTCACAGACAAAAACTGTGCCCGAATATTAAATAAACAACTGAAAGGAAACTAAGTTTTCCTTTATAAAACCAGAAATATAGGCGTACAGCGGCTTTTCAGCCTTCTGATCCCACTTCTGATGTTACAAATAGAAACACGAATTGACTTTATTTAAAATATTTTAATGGCCTTTGGCCTAACAAATATTAACTAACTTAAAAGCTTAAAACAAGGTTCAAAATAATGACGCTAGTATTCGAGCAAAGCTTCCGCACTCCGTGATGACCGTCGGCAAAAAGGGGCGAGTGACGCCAGCCGCCCTCCTATATAGCCCGGCGCGGCGTCGTCAGACCTTCTCTTCTAACAATAGTATATATATATATTTCACTATATAAAAAGTACTCTATGGTCTTGTCCAAATTGAAGGTGGCAACCAAAGAGAATATAATCACTATGGTGGCAACATTGCATTTTTTATCTGTGAAATAGATTCCTTACGGCCTCACGCGAAGTTATTTCTGCTTTTACCGGAGGGAATTTCATTTTCGATGTTTAGCGTTGATTTTTAATTGTGTATCCTTGAAAGTGTTTTATTCGTACTGATATTGTCAACTCACATCATTTGCCATTTGTATATCAATAATGTCATTTGCTTCCCGTAGAATACTTCAATGGCCGTGCTATTTATGTGTCAATAACAAGTATTTGATTGTGTCCGAACTATAAATTGCAATGATCGTGTATAATAATGGGACTATGCATTCGTTTCATCGTCGGAAATGGTTGATACTGTTAATAATCGCTGTTTGTCGGAAGCTGAACCCCGTCAATGGTGAGTGTAACATAACATGTACAGTCTAATTATGTATATTATACATCTACATCAATAGTCACTACATAGGCTCAGAAGAACAAATCTCACATTGGCTTAATTTATTGTCTTCCCGTTTCGTGCATACTTTTAAACATGATGCCTAAATAAAGATTTACTAAAATACATTTGTTTGCTTCTACATCTGCACTAAAACTTGTAAGATTTTTATTTGCCAAACATAAACAAATTTGTAGTTTTATTACCATCATAATACAAAATTATATAAGATATAGGGATTTAAACATTAATTTTTTGTGGTTTTTGGTTCTTGATTTTATTCTTATATTATTACAAAGTTGTTGCTTTATTTAATATTTATATTATATTATGTCCACTTCCGCCAACATGCATTAGGGTAGCACTGCAGCCTCCTTTCTGCTCAAAAACCCTCTATAAAAGAGGATAGATGTGCTATGTAGTGGGATTTGTAGGTAGGTTTACATAATAACTACACTACCAGCAACTGTAATTCTAACCATAATTTTAATGTTAAAACTTGCCGTACTATATCAGTGGCATAGCTATGTTACCAAGGGGGCTTAGCTTTCCATTTACTCCCATCGAGTTGGGGATTGATACATATTTTTACATAAAAGTTACACTATTATAAGCACACACATAAAGTTTCAATATGCGGAAACACATACTTTTTGAGAAAAGACATTATTTGAAAATTAATTATTTTTGCAATGTTTATGTTACATTCCTAGCGTAAAACTAATAAATATATAATAAAAAAAAAAATACGTGTTTCCGCATATAGAAACTTTGTGTGTGTGCTTATAAAAATGTAACCTTTCTGTAAAAATACGTATCAACACCAAACTCGATGGGAGTAAATGGAAAGTCGTACCCAAGGGCCCTGGGGCTAAAATTAAATTGGGGCCTTATTAAAACTAAACTAAATACTTTATAGGTGCAAAACTACTTGATCATCAGCTTTTTAATGTTGGTCCATACTAGGCGAACGATGTCGCAGGCGGAATCTAGTAAAAAATATACAATGACAAAGTAGATTACAGTAAATAATATTATGTTTATATTTTGGCAGTGGGTGTTTGGCCGAAAAGTTAAAAGTCAAAAATACTTTATACAACTATGATTTTATATAATTCTATTCTTTTTTGAACGTCGTTCATGGAGGCTAAATGGCCCTTTGAGCCCCGGGGCACTGTCCTGCCTAGCCCTACGGTAGCTATGCCACTGCCTACTATAACATAACTATTGGTTTTGGATAACCAAAACTAACAAATTACTGGAACATTTAATTGACTTATGAACATTGACCATCACATAACATTTTGGGTTGTAATCTTATAAATGTTTGATATAAATTCTGACGTCTCATATAAAGTTTGACCAAGAAGAACCACACTCCACAACACACAGAATACCAGTGTAAAATAGGAACTTAATGCTGCTGTGTATGTTTATTTGAAAAATACCACCAAGCTGTCAGAAAATATAAATTAAATGATTTCTTACCTTCCTTGCTGTGATTGCTGACGCTGCTCGGATTATTCCCATATATTCTGCCACCAGGTAAAAAGTATTATGGATTCCTAGTGGCATTTTTATGTGTATACCTAGTATGTGACTTAGTTATCGATGTATTGGTGAAAATTTTAAGCTTGTGAGAGCTTTGGTGATTAGATGGCAAAGTTTATGCAGTTGTGTACTGAATAGTTCAGGCAAAAGAAAACTGTCTAACACATGTTTATGAGTGAACATGACTAGTTCAGTTTTGAATTGTAATCCGTACATCAAGTCTCAATTGAACAAAGTACCGCTTGGGTGAGTTTACAAGATATAATAGCAGACTTGTTTGAAATAAGTATATCCAAGTCGTTGGTATAAAAGTAGTTGTTGTAAAGTTGGTAATTAGATCATTGATGGCTATATTCCACAAAAGTGGCGAGAGCACACAACTGTGTAGGCAGCCTTTAGCAGGATGTAAGGGTTTACTCTCACCTGCCATTTGCACTGCCCTTTCACTAAGCATGTTAATCCAGCCTATTGAGGTCGGTTTGACTTCATGTTCAGCAGGAGCTGCTTTAATACTTTTGAAGCTGGTTTTACGAAAAGTATATTCTATAACATACATTTTTGGTTGAAGCATTCAATTCATTCAACAATTTGAGGTAGTAGCCGATTCTGTTAATTTACCTGAGCTATAGGCATGTTGACTAGTATGCAAGTCCTTGCTAGTTAATGCTTTTTCTCTCAGATCTCTTGTGCATAATCATTCAGTCGCTTTCAACAGGATTATGTGAGGCTGATAGGTATTAATAGTTAGGCATTTTTCTCATATTGTGCTGGCATTATTCCCACCTGATTTGCTTCCTAATTGGTGACAATATTACTATAGAATTTACTCCAACCTTGAGTGCATTCCGTACTTGATGCTTTTTTTTTTCTAATTTCCTAAAGTAAAAATCAGCTGAAAGGTTCTTTAAAAATATTCAATATTAAAATGTTTAACCATAGAACTTTTCTCTTAGTTTCACAAAACTTTCTGAGTGGTTCCTGTATATTTTTTTTAAATCATATTTAACATTACAACAATAGTTTAACCAATATCGTATAAGATAGCTAAAATAATTTTGTGCATATCCTAAAATAAACAGATCAGTGTGGTCTCGATAACACAAATTTCAAGGGAAATACCAAAAATTTTCTAGTTAATTAGTTTTCGATTTAATAAGAATTTTGGGATTATACTTATACTTATTATACATTTATTAAACTTTCTAAGGTACACAGAAGTGTTACTTATAAAGTTTAATAAATGTATTCATTCATTGCACATGTAAAAAATACCTACACACTAGAACAGAAGCAACAAACATTTATTTTGCAGACAATTCCAAGTAAGACTTCTTATATGAGTTTTACTAACTTCAACTTGTCTGTTTTTTAATTTCAAGTTATAAAGTATAAATATGTACTATCAATCCCTCGTAGGGAAAAATATTTTGTTAGAGGTATAAATTATTCTAAGTAATTTGGATTTTCTTTTATAGTATAGTAATGACGTACGAGCACACAGTCCACCTGATAGTAAGTGGATACTGTGCTCCACAGACATCTACATTAATCCTTTATAAAGAATCAAAATGTAGTAGATGCATTGTTACCCCTGAGGATTAAGATGGAATGCCTCATTTCCAGTAAAAAAGGTCAGTATTATGCTGCTATTTTACATTGGTTTACTGTGAGAGCATGGCTCTTCCCTGGTCGAGTTGACCCATATGTGCCACAACTGTGATATAGATGCAGCATGGCTCTACATATTTTGGAGTTCAGCAGATAGGAATGGCAATTTTTTTGGCTTACTGAGGATTACGACTAGACAGGTTTCAAGTTATCAAGATTCCACTGTATTATGTGAAAAAATCAGGCAAATATGTAAAATAAATATAAATATTTAAAATAAATTCAACTATACCAACCCAAATGATGGACCCACTGCATTATATTGTAAATCAAAAACAGATAATATATTTTTTGTATCTGTCTTGCGTCTACATCTATAATCACATGACTATCTTTTATAAACAACCGGTTTAATGTAAATAGTAGTAATAGTCACTAATGTATTTTTAGGTTTGAAGTGTTATTGTAACAGCGACAGTCCAAGCTGTCCCAATTCGACTTGCGAAACTGATGGATTCTGCTATGCATCCACCACCTTAGACAATGGAATACAAAAGTATTCGTACCAGTGAGTATAGCTATGTGATTTCTTTTTGTTTTCTAAAATTTATCAAAATTTTAATAGACTACTTTGAAGTTTCTTGTTATTACATCTATGATATTATCTTAACTGTGCCTTCTACAAAGGTCTTATTGGCACTTAATTTATTAAAATTAAAATTTTATAGGGCTTATAAAATGCATATTGTTATAAATATTACAAAAGATACTTCGGGAGGTACATATTTTATTTAATTATTAACTCAGTTGTTGTTGTTGACTGCTACAATTATACTAGGATATCTAGCTTTCTATGAAACAATTGGCAAATATTCAACACAAATCTACTTATACAACTTATAATGGAATGAGTTTCATTGTTTGTTACATTTTTAATCAATTTTATCAAATCATTGACCTGTGTAGAGAGCTGGCCTTAAGCTGTATGAACATGAGCGATGCCTTACAAATAAGAGGCCATCCAGTCATATGCAAGGTGCCAAAATATTATTGCTGTTTTAAAGATTACTGCAATTCAGATGAGATTTCCCGAGAAATGATATACAGAGTGGTACATGCCTCAACTATGGGTAAGATCTTCTGCACTTGTGGGTGTGTGATACCTACCTGACGATGCAAATTTTGAGTTTGTTTGATGTACTATTAGAACATAATTGCATTGCCATTTCTTGCCCATAAGTTTTGTGTTGAGATGCCAATATTCTAACAATATCGCTTCTGATCTAGATTTGAATATGTACCTACTAAGCGAGCAAAAATATGGTCGACCCAAGAGTCGTCAGATAATTAATTAGTATGTTTTTTGAATGATGTGCCGTAATTTTAACAAACACTATTTCCCGAGTGTGCATTGGTTTTGCTTTAACCTACTAAAACGTAATGTCTGGTGGTTCCACCTGCGGCGCAGCTGTATCGAGTTGAAATCACTGATACCCATCGAGCACCCCTTCAGTTGCTCCACGACGAGAACTAGAAATGAGTCGGTGGTGATAGAGTGTTGTAAATCACATGACATGTGCAATAACGATCTGCGCCTGGAGTTACATCCGAAGCCGCCAGGTAGGAGCGACGTGGAGGTAGTGCCCTCGATGTGCCGCTAACTCCTGCACTCTTAGCTTGCTGCCACCGAAGCCCAATAATACCAGTACCACCCTGCCCGGCGTCGGCTCTGCTAGAGCTTGGTATTTGGCGCGAGACTGCATGGCTATTTAATTTGATTTTTCTTTGTTTTTGTTCTAATATTACTAAGATTTTCTCTTCTTAGACCGGCATTGATCACCTTCGTAACAGTACTACCCGTTATTTCGATTACCTAATTCTCTGATTTGTGATGTAGATGTTGGCCTCAAGAAACGGTATTCCCTCCTGGGGACAGGCCTATTTGGTGTCGCGAAGCCGAAAGCGCCGATATGTATTGCTGCGACACGGACCTCTGTAATATTCACATCTTTGCAGGTACGGAACACGTTGGGAATGTGTCACCGTCAGGTCGGCTCTTTGGGTAGCTTTGTTTTGTGATGTCCGCGTAAGCATCATGTCGAGTTTTGCTATGTTTTAAGATATAACGTTACGATGCCATATCACTGGGAACTTAACATCATCATCAATTACACAATGAGATGATTAAAACCGCATGAGAATTGTAAACAAAAGGGATTTTTAATGTAGCGGAAGGTATTGATTTGTTTCGATGATATACGCGAGTTTGTTAAATTTTAATAATTTTAAAAATCTACATGCATTTTTAGGATTGTAAAATTATTAATTGTTCAATTCAATTCAAACGATTGTTATGTCGCGGATTAATTTAATAAATATTATTATATAATTAAAAAAGGACTAATTAACGAATTGTAGACATTTATAATTATTTCAAATGATTGTTATTTATAAAATCTTGATTGTTGTTCAAAACGTAACCCCTGGTATGAAAAACCATAATTGGAGAAACGCTTATGGGCGGACTAACGGACTGTCAACATCGTAGACTTCGCACCTATAAGATAATTTGCAATGCGATGATTTCCAGGTGTAACATAATATGTAAGTGATCATAAGCCGGTATCTTACTTTTAAGCATGCCTTTTTCTTATTAAATACTAATTGCATGTCACTCATTGACTGACTTCCTCAATCACGCTTTTATTTCATATCGACAACGCTATATATACTTTTATTTAATTAAATAATGGTTTTCTTAATTGTCACTAGGTGTAGTAATTAATGTAAAAATAATTTTTTTTGTTTTATTTTGCGATGACAACTTACACAAGTAATTTTAATAAAATAACGGTTTTGTTTCTTGTCGTTGGGTGTGGATTTATAATTTACAGTAAATAATTAAAAAATAAATACTCTCTTTAATATACAGGGTGGTCCAACAGTGAGCTTATAAATTTTTTTTTGATTCCTCACACCTAGGGGTATCCGAAAATACCCTATGTATGTTCCGCGATTTTTTGTAGTTTTCCAGTTATGATTTTTTTATCCTTTTTTTTGAAAATGTTCACCCTAAACAGGCTAACATTAAAAAAAATGTAATTGTGAGATTTTTTCCAAGTTTTTTTGTTTGTAGCATGATCCTTATGAGTTGCCCTATTATGCATAAAATAATTAGCTTCCTAACATTCACCGAAGATACAATAATTATAATCGAAACTTAAAAATTTTCTGTCAGGAGAGTGGGGCTTGAATATTCAACATTAAATGAAAAATAGTAATAAATGATTTCATACTTTACTTTTAAACCTTTTTAAACTTTACGTTACTTTTAAAAACTTGGCAGTACCTTAATCTTTCATAATAACATAAAAAAATGACTCTTAATAGGCCAGTTTTTCTGTTACAGACTTCTGAAGTTACTCAGGCTGGAAACTACTTGAATAGTTAATTTGATTTAAAAAATCTTTTTATCATTTCTAGGGCTAAACTAAGATAGTAAATGCTTCAGGTTAGCAAAAATAACATCCAGTGTAACTTATTGTTTAAAATTTATTGACAACAAGGTATCATTTTACTACGTTCTGGACAAATGATTTCAAGATTCATAATAAAACTAGTAAATAATTTAAGATAAATTTATATAAAGTAAATTTTCGGAATGGCGGCCATTAACTTCGATACACAGTCTACATCGTCTTAAAAAATTTGCTTTTAGTCTTCGAAAAGCATTCGTATTTTCTTTGATTTTTTCTGCGCACTGTCTCAATTTTTCCCTTAATTCATTTTCCGAATTAATTCAATTTCCGGTTTGTAAGGATCGTGACACTTGGCGATCTGTTCTCTCTGGCTACCCCGTCAGGGATTGTACGTGAAGATAAGTAAGTAAGTAAGTAAGAATTAATTTCTCTAGCATACACCATCTCTTTGTAGAATCCCCAAATAAAAAAATCTATAGGGTTTAAATCTGGTGAGCGTGCAGGCCATTCGATTGGCCCTGCACGCCCAATCCACCTTCCTGGGAAAGTTCTGTTGAGGTGCTCCCTCACTTGTCTTTCAAAAGGGCAAGGAGCACCGTCATTTTGAAATATCATATCCCTCCTCGTTTGTAAATTAACTTCAAACAATAAACCATTTAAGTTATTTTGTAGAAAGTTCATGTACTGGGACCCGTTCAACCTAGCCGACAATTCAAAGGGCCCAACCATTTCTCCATTTATGACTCCTGACCACATGTTGATACTAAATCTGTTCTGAAAATTTGACTGGCTTGCTTTTTTGGGTTTTCAATGGCCCAACTATGATAATTGTGAATGTTAAAGACGCCAGTCCTTTCAAACCGGGATTCATCCGTCCAGAGTATCTTGTTAAAAAAATCCAGGTCTTCCGCAGATCTTTCCAGCATTATTTGGCAGAAAGCAACATGCCATGGATAGTCTGCGTCGTTAAGTTGTTGAAATCGCTGAACATGAAACGCGTGATATCCCTCTGGAAAAAAATTATTAGTATTTTTATTGTAGGTTGTCATTGTACACAATACTAGAGGTACGTACCGATAGAGCACGTGAACGTCAAACTAAAAGTTGGGATTTGCTAGAGTGGCGTCCTAGCGCCTATTTTTGAATTACGAGGGCTTAAAGAGGTCTACAAAATAATAAAATGCTCTCACCTGATTTCAGTATTCTTAAAACTGAAGTCCTTGGGATTCCTGTCCTTCTCGTAATCGCTCGTGAACTAGTAGAAGGTTCTCTTTCTACTTTTTCAATGATTACATCTCTTCTTTCTGGATCCACTGTGGGTAGTCCCTCGCGACGTTGATTACGCCCAGGAACGCGTCCAGCCATCAGGGTTTCGTGGGTGTTATTAAGAACCCTGTAGCCCGGGTAATGCTCTAACACTTCTCCTCGCCGCTCCAGTTGCTCTCGAAAAAGCCGTGCCGCTAATGCGCCGTTTCCTTGGGCAACGCCATAGAAATAGTGCATCTCTGCGTATTTACTGAGAGAATAACTCATTGCTGAAAGTAATCCAAATCACTAAGCAACTCAAGATCCATAAAACAAGCACAGGTCAATCGTAAGGCAAATCAAGAATCCGGGAAACAAAGCGAAGGTAATCAAATAAGAGATCCAAATAAACGTAAACGTGAGTAGTGGTTGCACGCGGGAAAGCAGTGAACGACTGGCGGGACTGAGCGACGTGAAAAAGGGACGCGGTCGGTGTGGCGCGGGGCGCGGGGTGCGGCCTGGTAACAAAATGGAGCGTAAAGCAGGAACGTTTACCTGAGCCTTTGTTTAAAATTCCTTTGTGTGTTTGTGACTGAATGTGCTATCATTAAGTTTGAGTGAAATAAAAAAAAACATGTAGTTTGTAGTAAAATGATACCTTAATAAATGTCACGTTTTAACAATAAGTAGTTTTCTTTGCTAACCTGAAGCATTTACTATCTTAGTTTAGCCCTAGAAATGATAAAAAGATTTTTTAAATCAATTTAACTATTCAGGTAGTTTCCTGGCTGAGTAACTTCAGAAGTCTGTAACAGAAAAACTGGCCTATTAAGTGTCATTTTTTTATGTTATTATGAAAGATTAAGGTACTGCCAAGTTTTTAAAAGTAACTAGAAAGTATGAAATCATTTATTACTATTTTTCATTTAATGTTGAAAATTCAAGCCCCACTCTCCTGACAGAAAATTTTTAAGTTTCGATTGAAATTATTGTATCTTCGGTGAATGTTAGGAAGCTAATTATTTTATGCATAATAGGGCAACTCATAAGGATCATGCTACAAACAAAAAAACTTGGAAAAAATCTCACAATTACATTTTTTTTAATGTTAGGCTGTTTAGGGTGAACATTTTCAAAAAAAGGATAAAAAAAATCATAACTCGAAAACTACAAAAAATCGCGGAACATACATAGGGTATTTTCGGATACCCTTAGGTGTGAGGAATCAAAAAAAAAAATTATAACCTCACTGTTTGGACCATCCTGTATATCATGACACAATATAGTTTATAAAATCACAATATACTATGATAAGTACTAACCCTTTCGCTGTCTACTACACCTAGGTCACTGCTATTGTCTTACTATTGTGTCTGAAAACCGGACAGTGAAAATGTTAAATCAATGTATTGAAAAATGTAATAGAACAAGAAAACATGCCTACGAAATAGAAAATACAATATTGGTGCACTGGAAAGATACGACCAAGACTTTCATATGTTTAATTAAAAGTAATATAAGTATAATCAATCAAAATACACACATTTAACATTGGTTGCGTTTTCGCTTTGTGTTTGTTTATTTGCTGCATGTTTAAATAACCTGACGTTAAAATTGTATAATATGAATTATTTCAGCTATAGTAATAACATTTTATTCCTTCGTTTAACACAAGATGTGCACGGGTCCCCAAGGGTGTGACATTCACCATACGGAATTTTCCGTCTGAATATGTAGGAGAATATTGGGCCTGCACTGAGGTAGCCCGCCAAATAAGCTTGTATACGGAATGTTTATTTATTGACAATGTAACTGACAGACTGCAATTCCTCACAGTTGCATACAGATAATACATTAGTGGTGTATTTTCGATAGTCTATTTACCATGTTCTGCTTTATAAAAGAATAGGCATCTTTCCTTTTTAAAATTGGGAGCTATATATTTCATTGCGTGCTTATGTCCTTAAGTAAATTTCGCCAATGCATGTGCTTAAATTTTTTTTATGTACATTGTGTTTCTTTCCCTTTTTAAATATTCGATTTGCTATTTATTTGACTTATATGACTTATTGTATCTGTATTAGAAAGTATTTATCCCCAAAGGCCTAACCTATATATAAAAACCAGATCGAAAGGTAGACTAAATCCGAATAGATTTGCTATTTATTTCTAAATATATATATTTATGTAACAATGCTTACGGGGAGGGTGTAGACGTAGTTGTGTGAGACATCTCAATATGAACTGTGACATTTGTTATTCTAAATCAAAGAACCGAGTCCGTCAGCAACAGCATGGCAAGTGGTGCCATGGATTATGGGACTGATGGTACTAGGGGTATGTGCTGCCATTAGCTTTTGGTGGGCAAAGAGATCGGGCAGAATGAAAGAGAGGGGCTCCCGGCCGCTGTACCCAGTTGAGGATTCACTGTGTGAGACGAGACATCCTATCACGGCAACAATACGGGACATGATCGAGCTTACCACATCTGGCTCCGGATCCGGTGAGTTCTTCTGTCAAACAATTATACCTAAGTTGAAATTTATGTTCAGTATATAATAAAAATATAAATTTATTTTATATTGTTTATAAGTTTGTTTAAAATTTTTGCTTTTTATTTACAAATATTGCCAATTTCCGAATGATTTAACAATTTTTAATATAACTTGTTTTATATTTTAATTCCACAGGTTTACCGTTACTGGTTCAACGGTCGATCGCGAGACAAATTCAGTTGGTTGATATTATTGGGAAAGGCCGCTTCGGGGAGGTGTGGCGTGGTCGATGGAGAGGGGAGAATGTGGCAGTTAAGATCTTCTCTTCGAGAGAAGAATGCTCCTGGTTTAGAGAGGCTGAAATATACCAGACCGTTATGTTACGACACGAGAACATTTTAGGTTTCATTGCAGCGGATAACAAGGGTAACGTTATGATTTCATTAAAATATTTGATCTTTTATTTGTAATATCTTATTCCATTTAAAACACTACGTTACTGCGTTTGATTTAATCTGCGATAAACAACAGGCAGGCGTAATGTCCACTTGTATATGACCCAGTCAAGGTTGTGTCAGATATATAATGCAGTTACTGAGTGGTAGGTAGTTAGGGGTCCCACTGGGTAGATCAGATCAAACGTCTCACCTATTACTGACGCAGTAACAGTTATTGTATTCTGGGCAAGAGAGCGGGTGTAATTACAGTTGGTACTTAATCTTATTGCTCAGATAGTCCTTCGCTGTCAGATAATCATCATCATCATCATTACAGCCCTTCACAAGTCCACTGCTGAACATAGGCCTCCCCCAAAGAATGCCACAAAACACGATCCTGAGCCACCTGCATCCATCGACTTCCTGCATGTCTTACCAGGTCGTCACTCCATCTCGTGGGGGGACGCCCTACACTTCGCCTACCGGTACGAGGCTGCCACTCGAGAACCTTTCTTCCCCATCGGTTGTCGGTTCTTCGAGCTATATGGCCGGCCCACTGCCACTTCAGCTTACTAATCCGTTGGGCTATGTCGGTCACTCTGGTTCTACTGCGGATATCCTCATTCCTAAGTTTATCACGCAGAGAAACTCCGAGCATAGCCCTCTCCATAGCTCGCTGAGCGACCTTGAGCTTCCTCATACGGCCAGCAGTGAAGGACCACGTCTCAGTTCCGTAAGTCATCACTGGCAACACGCACTGGTTGTACAATTTCGTTTTCAGGTTTTGAGGTATGTCTGACGAGAAGATGTGTCGTAGCTTCCCGAACGCTGCCCAGCCGAGTTGAATCCGTCGATTTACCTCTCGGTCGAAGTTGGACTTACCCAGTCGGACTATTTGTCCCAGGTAAACATACTCGTCAACAACTTCGAGCTTAGTGTTCCCAACAACTATCGGCATAGGTGTGACATGGACATTAAACATGATCTTAGTTTTGTCCATGTTCATCTTAAGACCTATCCGTTGGGAAACACTATTGAGTTCATTGAGCCTAGTGCTTAGGTCCTCCAGCGATTCTGCCATAAGGACTATATCGTCGGCAAATCGAAGGTGAGTGATGTACTCGCCATTGATGTTGATACCGTATCCTTTCCAGTCCAGAAGCTTGAAAACGTCTTCCAATGCAGCGGTGAAGAGTTTCGGGGATATGACGTCACCCTGTCTTACACCTCTCTGCAATTGGATAGGTTTCGTACTCTGGTTCTGTACTCGGATAGCCATCGTAGCCCTACTGTACAAGCACTTCAACACTTCGATATACCGACAGTCAACTTGGCACCGCTGAAGGGACTGCAGCACCGCCCAAATTTCGACGGAATCAAAGGCTTTCTCATAGTCCACATACGACAGACATAGTGGCAAATTGTACTCTTCGGACTTCTGTACAACTTGCCGAAGGGTATGTATGTGGTCTATGGTGCTAAAGCCCTTTCGGAAACCGGCTTGTTCGGGAGGCTGGAAGTCGTCAAGTCTGCGCGCGAGACGATTCGTAATGACTCTCGAAAACAGCACGTAGACGCGGCTCAGAAGGGAAATCGGTCTGTAGTTCTTCAAGAGAGCGTTGTCACCTTTCTTGAAGAACAAGACCACCGCACTTCTGCTCCACGCCTCCGGTGTAATGCCACCATGGAGGACGGAATTAAAGAGCTTCTGAAGGACTTCAAGTACCGGTCTTCCACCCGCTTTCAGAAGCTCCGCTGTAATTCCATCCTCGCCTGGGGCCTTACCGTTTTTAAGGTGCTGGAGAGCCATCCTAATCTCGCTCAGACTGACATCCGGGATATCTTCGGAATAGTGTCGGATGAGACTCGCTCTTGGATCGTTACTCACACTTGCGTGTGGCTCCAACGATGATGTGTACAGCTGCCCATAGAACCTCTCAATCTCACTCAAAATCTCAGGTGTCCCGGAAACGATGCTGCCACACTCTGTCTTCAGCTTTGACAGTTGGCTCTTTCTGGCAGACAGATCTCTGGCAAAGACTTTGGAGCCTTGGTTCCGCTCGATCGCTTCTTCAATACGAGCTGTATTGAAGTTGCGTAAGTCCCGCCGCATGCATTTGGAGATCTGTCTGTTCAGATGCCTGTATGCTGTCAAGTCTGTTGAAGAATGTAGCTTCATCTCCCGTCTAACAGCCATGAGATTAAGAGTGTGATCGGAGAGTTTTTGTGTTCTTCTGCGGCGGGTCTTGCAGAACTTAGCTCCAACCGCATGGACAGTTTCCACGAGCTTGTCATTCATATCGTCTACTTCATTGCAGTCTTCTAGGCACTGAAAACAGTTTTGTAACTCGAGCTGAAAGGTTTCGGGACTTTGAAACAGAGCACGAGGGGGACGGAGCGTTGACTTCATTAGACGAGACCTCTCCAACTTAACGTTTAGGTTCAGTGTGCCTCTAACCATTCGGTGATCGCTACCAGTTTTCACCCTCGCGATCACGGAGACATCACTGAACAGTTGTCGTCTGGTCGTCATAATGAAGTCAATCTCATTTTTTGTGGAACCGTCGGGGCTCGACCAGGTCCACTTCCTGTGGGGCCGCTTCTGGAAGAAAGAGTTCATCATAAAGAGTCCCTCTTTCTCCATGAAGTCGGCCAGCTGCTGGCCCCTTGGGTTCCGTTGCCCTATTCCAAATTTCCCTACTTTCAGCTCACCGTTCTCTCTTGTGCCTAGTTTTGCATTGAAGTCTCCCATTAACACCGTATATTGGGTTTTGGAGGAATGCATGGCTCTAGAGATATCCTCATACATTTCCTCCACCTCCTCATCGGGGTGTGCCGAGGTTGGTGCGTAAACCTGTATGACCTTCAGCGAATACCGTTTGGTGATTCTGAGTATAAGGTACGCAACCCTCGTCGACACACTCCCGATTTTTACAACGTTGTTAACGAGAGACTTGTGGACGATAAATCCGACACCTCCTTGGGACAGATGGTCGCCCTCCCGGTGATAGAGCAAGTTGCCGGATTCGAGGATTACCGTGTCCTCCCCCTCTCTTCGGACTTCAGATAATCCTATAATATGCCAGCGCAACTTGTCTATCTCTTCTTCCAGCTCCACGATCTTCTCGTCAGTCCTCAGGGTGCGTGCGTTGTACGTTGCCAGGTCGAGTGGTCTAAGGTGGCAACCGAACCTCCACCGGAGATTCTTAGCACCCCCTGCCCCGCCGTTACCATGGTCGCCACCGTAGCCAGGAATAGCGGGGCCGCCGGGGACTGGGGGCCGTTTTTTTGTTGCTCTCATCATTGGGGGGTATTTGCCATAGTTGCCACGCTTGGCGAGCGGGTTGGCAACCGCAGTTTTTTTATTGTCATTTGGCTATTATCAGGAAGATGCTGCTGCCCATCTCCTGGCTGTTTCCCTTTGTCGCCTTTTACGACACCCACGGGAGGATATGGGGTAGTGGATATTCTTGACCGCCACTACACGGTGCATGTATAATCAGGTCGATTAAATATTATAAAAAAACGACGTGTTTCCTGTTAGGAAGTTTCGGGAAGATTGTAGCATTCATTTAACATTCTGCTGTTTTTAAATTCTAATCTAATATTATAAAACTTGACACTGATAACAGAAACATGTGTGCATCGCGCAAAAGTAATACTGTTTACATTCCAAAACTTGAATTTTTATGCGTTGACATTTATATTTTCTTATGCAAATTAATCAACATAGTCCGAACGTAAAGTTCATATTTTAAATCTTTTACATTCTTTGAAAAATTTTTTTGTTCAGCTTCATAATAATTTCTTCCACATAGGTACAGGAACATATATGTTACTTATTTATACTATAAGTTATAGATAATATTTATTACAAATCATTTTATGTTTAATTTAAAACTGTTTCGGAAAATCTCTCTTTTCTCTCTCTAGTTCCTTGGGAAGAAACTACCAACAAACCCGCCGGGACTATTTTACAAAAAAATGCATAATTTATTATGTATATTCCTTATGATTATGATAAACTTTATTTATCAATCTTTAAAAAAAAATACACTTAGTTTTTGGCTTATAGCTAAACTTGGTATACTTTGCTCCATGAATATATTACTGACTCTGTGGTTTTGACTAGTATTAACAGAATGTTGTCGCAAATGTATTGAGAGATCAAATGTAACATATTAATTTCCTTAAATTTTTGTAAGAGATACGATAGGGTCAAAGTTAGCTTTACGGCCCTAGTCTGCGCACAAAAACAAAATAGAATATGGGTGACAAACGAGCATACAGTCAACCTTATTGTAAGTGGACGTAAGTCTCTTGTTAACAAAGTAGTAAAGATTGTGAGTGTGTCAACGAGGGTTGCGTACCGTATACTCAGAATCACCAAACGGTATTCGTTGAAGGCCATACAAGTTTACGCACTAACCATGCACTAAAGCCATGCATTCCTCCAAAACCCACTATACGGTGTTAATAGCAGACTTCAACGCAAAACTAGGCAACAAGAGAGAACGGTGAGCTGAATTTAGGGAAATTTGGAATAGGGCAACGGAACCCAAGAGCTGGTTGACTTCATGGAGAAAGAGGGACTCTTTATGATGAACTATTTCTTCCAGAAGTGGCCCTACACGTAGAGGACTTGGTCGAGCCCCGACGGTTCGACAAAAACTGTTTAGTGCGTGGGTGAAAACTGGTAGCGATCACCGAATGGTTAGGTGCACACTGAATCTACACGTTAAGTTGGAGAGGTCTCGTCTAATGAAGTCAACGCTCTATCCCTCGTGCTCTGATTCAAAGTCACGAAACCTTTCAGCTCGACCTACAAAACCATTTGCAATCCCTAGAACATTGCAATACAGTGGACGACATGAATGACAAGCTAGTGGAAACTTTGCATGCGGTCGAAGCTTAAGACTGACTAGTCGCAGAACACAACATCTCTCCGATGACACTCTTAATCTAATGGCTGTTAGACGGGAATGAAGTTGCAGTCTTCAACAGATTTGACAGCATACAGGCATCTGAACAGACCGTTCTCCAAATGTGGCGGAACTTACGCAACTTCAATACAGCCCATATTGAAGAAGCGATCGAGCAGAACCAAGGCTCCAAAGTCTTTGCAGAGATCTGTCTACCAGAAAGAGCCAACTGTCAAAGCTGAAGCCCGAGTGTGGCGGCATCGTTACCGGGACACCTAAGATATTGAGTGAAATTGAGAGGTTCTCTGGGTTCGAGGTTCACGCAAGTGTGAGTAACGATCCAAGAGCAAGTCTTATCCGACACAATTCCGATGATATCCCGGACGTCAGTCTGAGCGAGATTAGAATGGCTGTCCAGCACCTGAAAAACGGCAAGTCGCCGGGCGAGGAACGAATTGCAGCGGAGCTTCTGAAAGCGGGTGGAAAACCGATACTTGATGTCCTTCAGAAGCTCTTTAATTCCGTCCTAGCAAAGTCCTAGAAAAAGCTTTAGTTTCGTATACCACATTCATACCCTTCGGCAAATTGTACAGAAGACCGAAGAGTAAAATCTGCCACTTTGCCTTGCGTATGTGGACTATGAGAAAGCCTTTGATTCCGTCGAAATTTGGGCGGTGCTGCTGTCCCTTCAACGGTGCCAACTTGACTGTCGGTATATCTAAGTGCTGAAGTGTTTGTACAGTAGGGCTACGATGGCTATCCGAGTACAGAACCGGAGTACGAAACCTATCAAACTACAAAGAGGTGTAAGGATGCGTTTCCACTAGAGATATACGAGGTAGCTAGACGGTGCGAGGATGCGTAGCTAGGCTGTAGCACTGGAGTAGTTTCTTTGCGCGATAAACTTAGAAATGAGGATATCCGCAGTAGAATCAGAGTGACCGACATAGCCCAACGGATAGGAAGCTGAAGTGGCAATGGACCGGCCATATATCTCGAAGAACCGACAACCAATTGTGTGAAAAGGTTCACGAGTGGCATTCTCATACCGGTAGGGTGACTTACCCCCCCCCCCCCCCCCCCCGCCCCCCTACTAAATGGTGTGACGACCTGGTAAGTAACACATGCATGAAGTCGATGGATGCAGGTGGCTCAGGACCGTGCTTTGTGGCATTCCTTGGGGGAGGCCTATGTTCAGCGGTGGACATGTGAAGGGCTGTAATGATGATGATGATGAAATAATAAATTTTGTTTTATTTTAGTTAAAGTATACAGAACGGGTATGTTTATTTACGGTCCAAACGAGGTTCTCGTGAGCGACGAATTCAGGTATATCAATTCTAAATGTTAAATCCGATTTCACAGTATGTTTACCTGGGATAAATAGTAGACAGGTGATGGGTGGTTATCGGTGCTTCGCTCACTAACGCATCTGCCCACGGGGCAGGTAAATATGGGTATACCTTTCAAGTCATGGATGTCAATTGGTGCATATTTAAAAAGACCAAATGTGATGTGATTGATTTTTTATTTAAACACATGAGATGATTTTTTATTTAAAAAACCCACCTCACATGAGGGATTTCTTCTGTATCTTGGAGGCATTTGACATATGATTGTAAGCTGTTATTTAAAAAAAGTCCTGCTGGGTTTGCTCGTTCTTCCGAGGACAGAGGTTTTTTTTATTGAACCAGTGGTAATTAAACAAAAGAGTAACCTTTAATAAGTATTATTTATAAGCTATATTGAATAAAAAAGTTTCTGTTTCAAACATCTCGTAGAATTATCTAGTTGTATGCCATTTAAATGCTTGTTTCATGTGCGTAACCCACTGCACCGCAGCAAAACATTAAAACCGATATTCAGAGCCAATATCAATTTTAAACTCTAACAATGGCAGACTTTCATACATAAAATTAATTGAGAAGAAATGGTAGCGTCTATATATCAAAAATATCTTAAAATCTTAGCGTCAGTCCCTAAGTAACTTTGTCAAAGAGTTTTGTCCTGAGAAGGCGTCAAAAAAAGGATATTTAGATCTAGTATTATTTCACTTGAAAAAGTCATGCGTACTGTGGTTGTTTAACTGAGTTTTTAGATTATTGTATCTCTGTTATATATTTGCATACTATAAATGTATATTTCTGGCATGGCTTCTGGGCTTTTGTGCCATACAGTGACATACGTAAGCATCATATTATTCTGTGACAGTGACATTTTATTTTAGCTAGTGTTGCCATAACATTAAATGGAACTGTTACATAGTACTATGATTGAGACAACGTATTATTGCAGGAAGTTCTTTGTAAGAGACTTATTTTCAACCTTATCACTTTTATTTTTATTATTACTTATAGTAAGTAAAAATTTTATAGGTAGTTATTACTAATAATAACTACCTATAATGTTTTTTGTTTGTTGTGTTGGTAGTCTTACAAAGTGTATACGAAAATAGTATGAATATAGTAAATGGGAACACGTGAATAGTGAAAATGATTAAAGTAATTTCATACTCCCAAAAATGTATGTTTTCTCTGTGGCTTAGATTAAAATACATTTTTATTTGAAAAATCATTGAATAATAATAGAACTCATTTTATATATAAGTTATTTCTAGACGCATTCATTTTTGTCAACTATTTTTCTGCCCTTGTTATTTAAGAATAATTTTTTTATAGCAGAGGGGGCAAACGATCATGCGACTCACCTGATGGTAAGTGATTACCGCCGCTCATTAACAATTGCAACACCAGAGTAATTGCAGATGCGTTGCCGGCCTTTTAATAAAGAGTAGGCTCGTTTTTTGAAGGTCCCTAAGTCGTACTGGTCCGGAAAATCTCTGGGGTTAGTCGATTCCACAAGGAAGTTGTGCGAGGAAGAAAACTCCTTTTAAATCGCATAGTGGTGGACCGCCAATCATCCAAATTGTATGGATGTGTTTATCGTGTCGCTAGTGCGATGGTGAAATTAAGCAGCTGCAATTAGTCCGAACAATTCCTCTGAGCACTCCCTGTCGTCGATGCGATAACATACGCAAAGAGATGTAACATCTCTTCGCAGTGCCAGTGAGTCAAGCCGATCGGAAAGAACTTGGTCGTCGACGATTGGAGTTGCTCTGCGCTGGATGCGGTCAGGTGGAAAGAGCTGGCACTGGGGAGCCCCTGCCCAGAGATGGGAACAGTATTCCATTTGGGGCCGAACCTGCGCCTTGTAAAGTTGCAAGCGGGCACACCGCATGAAATACTATCCCGGTCTGCCGAGCACGCCCAAGGTTTTTTGAGACCAATTTGGCCTTCTCTTCCAAGTGACCACAAAACTGCACATCACTCGATATGTCGACGCCGACCAAAATTTGCCTTTAGGCCATACTAAATTGCTTGAATTTTGACAATGTCAAGTTTGAGTTCATGCTCGAGATTTGTCTGCAGTAGACCTCGAAAACTAGTAAAGACATAACAAATTTTTTGATCCTATAATAGCAAGCTTTAAAGAGAGTAATTGGCAGTGTTAAGATATTACTTATTAACACAAAATGTAATATGTACTGGCAATACGACCCTGTGTTAGTCCAGAGATAAATATTTATTTAACAAAATCTACTTCAAAATCCGGCAAGCCGCGTTCAGGTATAGGCTGAACACATACATAGGTACTGAATGTACATAGATCGCAAGCAAAAAGACAAAGTATGTTTGTCTTTTCGTACATACACATAAAACTATTTTATAAACATAAAACACAGCGAAATTGCCCTCCGAATGGGGCAGTTTGGTAATAAAAAGTTATTTGCATTATATGCGACAGAACGCTGCAATAAAATGATTTCGTTTAAGGCGTAATTCTGATAGAGGGGCACACCTTGCAATTAATTTTCAGTGCGTCTGTTTATATGATGGAATAAATTATTAGCGTGTATATATGTAAGTGCATGAATTAAAAGCGATTTTAACAAGTCGAGATTCATATTTTTACATAGCAAATGAGTTTAAACCATGAGTTTGCTATTCGGTGTCATTAAGAACATGTTCTGATTCAGTTTTTCCTTGAATAAAGTTTAACTTTATAGTAACTTATAAGGATTACTAATTATTACTTTTTGCTTTTTCAGATAACGGAACTTGGACACAGTTGTGGCTTATAACGGATTATCATGAAAACGGTTCGCTTTTCGACTTTCTAACTGCGAGGACTATTGACTCCAATACCCTCATCAAAATGGCGCTTTCAATTGCTACGGGACTGGCTCATTTGCATATGGATATTGTTGGCACTAAAGGTGATTGAATCGTGAATTTAATAATATTATGAAAATATTCCAAAATATTATCGCTAATTATTTCTTATATTTACAGGAATAGTGGACATTGAATTTACGGATTCATCCACGTTTAATTTAAACTTTTTTATTCCCAACATTTTTTGTGCGCTTTACAGCACTCATGGTCACGTGAGGGAATGTCAAACATCTGTAACATTCCCTCGGGTTACTTAGATGTTTGACATTCTGATGACATAGTTAAAGAATGCTATCTTAAACTTTTAAATATTTATTTTTGATGTGATCTACATAGAACAATTATCACTGAATTATATCTAATTTAATACAGCATATTCTTACTAAGAAATTTCTTTTTGCTAAGATTGGAATCTTTCTTAGGTAAACCTGCCATTGCACATAGAGATCTAAAGTCCAAGAACATCTTGGTAAAGACCAACCTGACTTGCGTGATAGGAGACTTGGGGCTGGCTGTGAGGCATAACGTCGCGAGCGATTCCGTCGACGTCCCATCTACGAACAGGGTTGGCACGAAGCGTTACATGGCACCTGAGGTAAGTTATGACGTATGGTAAAGTGCCAAGTGTTTTGCTATATAATTACAAAATTACATGACCCTTTTTTATCTAAGCTGTGCGTTGCTGCCGCAGAAGAAACAATTGTGGAAATATCGGTTTAAATTTTGAAGAATTATAATTGTTTAATTAGGAAAGATAATACATACATTGAAGTTGAATGATATATAACTTTCACATACATTTGTCGGTACAATACGCGCGCCACCTACTGTTAGTTAATTGTACTATGTCTATAACACTCGCGCAAGTGCAAGCAATAAGTTGACAAAGATTTACCGCAATCTGATGAACGGTATGGCAGCACATTAAATACGAACAATCAAACATTAATTTGTATATATTAGATAAGCCATTACTGACTACTATCACACATGACGGTAAGTGATGATAGTCTAAGTTGATAAAGCGCAGTAACTTAGCTTATCAGAAGGCTATTTTACTCATGCCTTGTAGACACGGATATTGTATAGGTCCCGTCACGTAAAAAGAACGCTACCTGCGCACTGAGCGATTTTTCTATCAAATTGGTGGTATGAACGGGGCGCGACGGGGGAATGCTCGCCAGTATTACTGTGCGCGCACGCTATTGGTTCGTCAGTTGACCCATGCTTCCCGCACTTCGTTCGCTCCCAAAATACAGTCGCACACACAACTTTCTATGCACGACGCGCGACGATGGTTTTAAAAAGGAAGGAAAGAAAAATGATTTATATTTATTGTTTTATGATTGAACTAGTGAACGAAAAGGTAAATATGATGGGAGAAGGTGAATGGGAAAATTGTGCAGTAAAGTTAAAATTATTGAGGAAGAATACCGAAAAAATTACCATGTGGTCGACCTGATGACGGAAACATTTATCATTCGCGCTGATGATGATGATTCTGATGACGGAAGCTCAAGCGAAGATAAAAGTGATGATGAAGTATCATCCAGTAACACTAACACACCATCGACATCTGGCGTTCATGTGACCCAAGACGATATAATGGACGGCGCGGCGCGTCACCCTTAGCTTAAATTTATTCTTCTTACAACCTACTTTATATTTTACGACACAAATAAAAAATAATACTCAAGTAAACATTATCTATTTTTAATCCCAACCTCTTCCAAAGTTCTAAGTAGCTAGTAAAGTACCTATTATGATTCTACAATTAAACTTATACTTTTATTACTCTTATATTATAAAACTATAGCATAGTACCATCTAGTACTTTAGAACGCGACTGTACCCATGCGCAGACACATCCCCTCCCCTGTCGCTCAGCGTTCTTTTTACGTGACGGGACCTGTAATCTGATGGAAAAACAGATGTTGGCAATTGATTCTACTCCTTTTCTAGAATGACGAAGCAAACCTACTGAATCGAAGTTTTAGTATGTTGATATAACAATAGGATGGTGACTCGTCGACCGTGTGCTTGTGCAATGGTGTTGGGGAGAGAGAGGAATTAAATTGTGCGTACACTTTCTGAAATGAAATCCAGTAGAACACCATGGCTGGCTACTTTGCTCGATGCTGGTTAGATTGACCATAACCTTTTTGTACGCCTTTCTATTGAGTCCAAAGCTGCTAGGTGACATTTTGCAGCACCAATCCATATACAGCAGCAGCAATACTCCAAGCACAGGCAGACTTGTGCTTTATATAGAGTAAAAAAATGTCCCGACTTATAGTACAGCCGAACCTTTGTAAAGACACAACTTCCTTGCAGCTGCTTTGACCCTGGACCCGCTCAGAGTTCCTGTTCGAAGAATTCTCAACCTGCAACAAATGAATGTGCCCGGTGCATTCTAATGATCCATCTTGAAAATATATAGTTAAAGTGAGCTGGATCCTTTTTAAAGCGAAAAGATAGACTTGTGTTTATGGAGGCGCTGAATTTCACAAGATTGGCAATCGGCCCATCGGAGGCTATCTGCAGTGAGAGATTTTCACACTCAACCATAGCTTCTCTTTCAGACTGGCATTGATCCCGACTGACTTGAGCACTCGGCTGATATCTATCCACAATTGTGCCTTCATCTGCGTACCCATAGATGCTAGGGATGAGTAGGTCATTGATATGAGCAGGGAGTTGCGGAGAGAATGGATTTCTGAAGAACTCCAGTACAGCTGTAGAAAATGCCAAAAACTAGTGTAGGTGGTCCAGTTCCAGACATTCCTCGGTAGAAAAAGGAGCCTTACCATGTAATTTTATCATAATCAGAAATTATGTGTAAAATACAATTTTAGACAATACTTTTTTGTTGCTATCATTGTTTTTCATCATTTGATATAGAAGATAGTAATAATCTTCCATAGCAACGCGGGTTTGATTTCCGTCGGCACTGATAAATCGCGCTCGGCGGTAAAGGAAAACAAAGTGTATTTTACTTATTTTCTACTCTACGACCAGGTGTTGGACGAGAGCATGGACTCGCGACAGTTCGATCCTTACAAGCGCTCGGATGTTTACTCCTTCGGGCTTGTGCTGTGGGAGATGGCTCGTCGGTGTGGAGCGATGCCCGACGACTACCAGCCGCCGTACTACGACTGCGTTCCTCCCGACCCGGCACTCGAAGATATGCGCCGTGTCGTTTGCACAGAGAAGCGGAGGCCGAACGTCCCTAACAGATGGCATTCCGATCCAGTAAGTATACATATTACATACCTTCGATGTCGGGATCGCTATAGATACAAATAATGACCGTATTTAATGGCACAAGTTGCCGTCTTTCTTGCAGCCGACTGACACTCTATTGATATGTGACACTTGAAAACCATTAACTACTACTTAATAGCTAGGAATCACACTACCAAATCAAGCAACATTTATCAAACACTGGCCTATTGCCGACAAATGTAACTTTGCAATTTATATTACTTATATGTCACAGATATATTTAGTCATGTATTAATAAAATGGTAAGTCTTAATAAAATGCTGGCCTATGCAAAGTTAAATTATCGTTGGACTTAATATGTTAATCATTTCGTTGTTACATTTTTACTATAATGAATGTTACCTATATATGAAGCTAAACTAGCAAGTTAAAAGCTATTACTGTAGTTAGACCTCACTTGTTCTAAGTATATTCGCGGCACGTTTTGAACAATTATCATATACAAAAATATTTAAACAGTCGCATTTTATCTAGGTTTATAATTCGTAAGAAAACTGAATTCTAATCTTAGTGCTGCCACTAAAAACAGAAAGTGTTAAGCTCTAAAAATATTAAGTGATGAAGGTGTAATAATATTATATTAATAATATAATCTCTTTATAATACAAACTCTTTATTTCATTAAACATTTAACAATACAACAATTTTACACCTTGTAAAAGAAAATCAAAAAATACATATTTATGTTAGGTTTTGTAAAAAGTAAACGAGAAATATTGATTTCTATGTATTATGAATTTTATAATTCAATTTTAAGAATATTTTTTTATTTGTGCCTGTAATCTCCAAAAAGCTATCCGCCATATTAGCTTCCGTCGTGACGTCACTGGTTAAGTAAAATATCTATTTTTAAGTTAAAAAAGTTAAAGTTACAGCTTATACACGTCCCACTGCTAGGGACAGGCCTCCTTTCATTTCTGAGAGGGTTTTAGGGCAAGAAAGTGTCCGCCGCGCTGCCCCAGAGAACGTGTTGGCGAACTTCACGTCATCGAAATATTTTTTTTCTTATTTCTCAGACATGCAGGTTTCCTCACGATGTTTTCCTTCACCGTCGAGTACGTGCTAAATCAGCGCTTAAAATTATAATTAACAATTGCATTGGTGCCGGCGGTGATTGTACTCGGGTTGCTCGCGTACTGTGAAATTTATCGCGAGCGCCAACCATCTGAGCTACCACGACTCTCAAATTATCTATTGTGCTGTGTGTTATTTCGAAATGAAATAACACACAGCACAATAAAATTGTTGAATTTTATTCACAAAATAAAATTGTTGAATTTTATTCCGAATTTTATATAAAATCATGGCGACATGGAAGACGGATTCGTAAAAGCTGAAAATACTAATCTACAAAGAATAAATACATTGATGGTAGCAAAATTTTTCCATGCAATCCAGATTTTTTTTCTGCCGAGTTGAGGAATGTTAAAACGTCAATGTATAAACCCATTTATACCTACTATCTATTACCTACTTTTATTTATACAATAACACAATAAGAGGTCAGTGTCTTTTGATAATATATAGTTATGCTTATCTATGATTACAATCATTAGTAATCATTAGTTATATTTACGACAAGATAACCTAATCTATTACAAAATTTGACTTGCAATACATATCACCTTATGATGTTTGTTTTGTTTTGCATAAAGTATAAACGATAGTTAAATATAAGTCACAATTACATCAGTGTTCTTTACAGAAGTATAAGTCTAGTTTTTGTAGACAAAATCTTCAGGTCTCTTCTTGCCAGTTCTAACCAAGTATTTGTCATATTTAAATCAGTTGGCTCTTGAATCCATAACTTCCTCGGCGTTCTTATGCTCGTATTTTTGGATTCAGGCATAACCCACCAATGATACAGATGATAACTCATTATTAAACATCCAAAAATATCTTATTCCTTTGCAAAATCCTTGGACAGTAACGTCACTAGTTGAATAGCATGGTGGCTAGCGTTTCCGTGCGAAAATTTAAAACGATAGTTATTTTATAGCTTTTATTATTATTTTATTATAGTTATTTTATATATATATATATATATATATATATATATATATATATATATATATAAATCATAGTGTTTTAAATGAATCCTAAAGTGGTGGTTTATTATCACTCTATGATTCATTTAAAACACTATTTTAACTTGGGTGTAATACCCTATTTGCATACGGTAGGGGGCGTCTTTTAAGTACCTTAAAGCACTTGTATCTGAGACTCCCACTCTTCCATAGCCATACAAAACGTTCTAGAAAATATAAGAGATTACATATAATACAAAAAAAAAGTTTAAAATTATTCAAAATAAATGTAAGAGCGCGCGCGCGTGTGTGTGTGTGTGTGTGTTTTGTGTAAAAATATTTTTTTTTCGTCTTGTGTTGAATAATAAACGTTTTTCTGTGCTTTCGTAAGACAGGGTAGCCAATATATAATCCGTAACTTGCAATCCTTTTTATTGCTACCGTAAATACTAAGCTAACTCTTGATAAAATTATACAGATAGATAGGTTGGTTAATGAACTGATGTCTAGCATTTGCAGTTTTAACACAAAATGAGTTAAGTACAATGTCTTCTTCTGTGCAAAATATTTGGATCATAAAACAAACCTTTATGCTTTTTAATATTGTGTGTAAAGTATATAATTTTCTTATATTTAGTACATCAGATTTTAAATATAGGCTCTCTGTTGGAAATTTATTAGGCACTCTTTCTAATTGCAATAATTTTGTTTTTGTTACTCCACCTCATATCAGAAGGCAGTAAGTTATTAACGATTGAGCTAATGCTAAATAAATTTTGTTAATAAGAGTATCGGAAGTAATATATCTAGGCGTTTTAAAAATACAGGTTAATTTTGTAAATCTACGTGTTATTATATCAATATGTTCATGCCAAGTTAAACGTTGATCTAAATGATTCCCATGTACATGGTTGAAGAAACTTTCATAATGGCTGAGCAGTTACAATTTTGAACTTCGTCAATGTTGCAAGTGTGAATCTTTAATAAAGTTATTTCCCGGTTGTGTCCCGTTTTTAATATTAAAACAAATATAATTAGTTTTAAGTGCATTAATTGTTAGAAAATTGGATTAAATACAGTTTGTAATTTCAGTAAGGCCAGATTCTGTACCTTTAGGAATGTCATCCCATGATGTTCCAGAAAAAACTACAGCAGTATCATTGGCATATGTGAACAGTCGGGCACCATTAATTTTTAGATTACAAAGATTATTGGTATAAATTAGAAACAACTTTGGGCCTAAAATACTGCCTTGTGGTATGTCGTAGGTGGTATATGTGTCCTCACTAATAATCTGATTTATTTTAAATTTTTGTGTACGGTTTAATAAGTAATTCTTAAACAATGTCAAGGTTGTGTTCCTTATGCCGATGTTTTCTAATTTTTGTAAAAGGATGGGGACATACATAGCATCAAAAGTTTTTTTCAGTTCTAGAAAAACTGCAAGACATTTTTTACCCTGATCCAAGTTGTTAAATATGTACGAGCTAAGAGCTATGATTGCATCTTCTGTGGATTTACCTCGTCTGCATCCGCTGACAGTTACATAGTTAATAGATATCGAACTTAGTAAGATAACTTAAAAGTCTTGTGTTGATAAGTTTTTCTAATATCTTGGAAATCGATACTGCAATTGGCATATAGTTGCTAACATCACCTCTTCCCCCATTCTTATACACTGGTGTTATAACAGCTCGTTTTAAACGTTCAGGAAAAATGCTATGCTTAAAACAAAGGTTTACATAGTGGCAGATTATAGGAGTAATTTGAGTTACCTCAAATTTTAGAAAGTGCGCTGGAACGTTATCCCATCCAGGAGCACTGTTTGATTTTAAGGTCATGATGATATCATGTACCTCGTGAGGATCCGTATCTAACAAGACAAAGGAAGAAAGCTGGGGCTGCCCAACTAATGTTGTATAATTACCATAATTATTTCTGGTTAGAATATTATTGGCAAAATTTTTACCTACATTGGCAAAGAAGTTATTAACATAATTTACCGAATCTAATGGTGTTGCTTTTGTTCGTAACAAATCTGTATTACTTACTTGTGTTTGATTTAGATATCGTAACTAATTAGAAGGAAAGCACTCCTTCTAATTAGTTACGATATCTCTTTCAATTTCACTTGTTTTTGCAAATTATTGCGATTTCTAATACAGCGCACAATGCCAATTATTATCCAATCTTTGTGTTTTCTTGTAAGGATTCGCTCAATTTATTAACTAAAATTTCTATAACTCTATTGGGATTGTCACAAAAAAGTAATTCAGTGAAATTCTTTTGTAATAAACTATTAAGGGTATTTTTAAAATCTGTAATTGTTTTTTTCTTTGTGCATTCATTTAATAATTTGAAGTTGGATAGGTTTAGTAGTATCATTGAGTGATCAGTAACGTTGTAAATAAGATAACAATTTGAGCATAGACCTTACCTTGTATTAGTTTTTGAATAAAATGATCTAAGCAGCTGCTTTCTCTCTCTCTCTCTCTCTCTTGAGTAATGACCAGGTATTAAGCCGTGCATATTTAACATTTTAAAATTATTCTCTCTGTTACTACGTTCATAATGAAGTGAATGCATGTATGCATGTTGATTAATCTTTAAAATTCACCAAACTGGACTCGGACGCCATGATTGTAGATTAATTCATCACCAAAAATGGGAGGTCGACGCTGAACAGAGGGAAGTTTACTTTGTAATCTATGCGATTTTCTATCATTTCTTTAGGTATGACGTATAATTAGGTATATATGATATTTTAAATTCCAAGTATTGTAAAATACAGTATGTAAAAACAAACCCTGTTCGATATGTGAGGGTTTTTTAGGTATTGTGATAAGATCCTCTTCACGTCTTTCTTTTCAGTGAATAAATAAAAAAATTACCCGTGTTGTTCATTGCGGAACCCAGGTCCTCCTTTTGGATCGTACAAGACGTTTCATATTGTATAACATATTATGTAAATAAACATCATAAATTTTCAAGGTGCAAAATTGGATTGGCACAAAAAATACCTTGTGCACTATAATACCGTAAGTCTGGTATGGTGTGGGTAAATTCAATTTAATGGATTATATATAAATGAAATTTATTTGGTAGGTTCTTTCGGCAATATCGAAGGTGATGAAGGAATGCTGGTATCAAAACCCTGCGGCTCGACTAACAGCACTTCGTATCAAGAAAACACTCGCAAATATCGGCACGGCGGATCACATCAAGCTGTAAATACATCTAATGATGGTGAGCACTTTAACTGAGGTATATTTAATTTAGCATAGAAACATTAGTGGGCACTGCGATTTCAATGTTATCATTTTACTGTTTGGCTCCTTGAGCTTGTGACGTAGAAGTTTAATTCTGCGTTGCGCCTGGTGAGTGCAGGTGGCCGGAGGGCCAATACCCCCTCTCCACCTTCTTTTAACATGGTAGCGGCGGTAAATAAGACACTACCCCATGAGGGTACCAGCACCCCTGGTGTTGGAGAATCCCTCGCTGAGCATCAATATCCAAGCTACCCTCCTCTTCCTGAGCGTGGGTGCTCAGGCTGCCCCGATTAACACTGATCGGGGCAAACGGAGCAATAAAATAAAGGCGACCCCTGCTACGCTATCCGTGAATTTCTACAATATCAGGTGACTTCTGTTTGTAATGTTTGTAATGTCAAATTAACAGCTTTTTACTAAATGCATATGGAAGTAAATACGGTACTTATAACTAAAATACAATTTTTTAAATTTTTGCCTGTCTGTCTGTCTGTCTGTTTGTTCCGGCTAATCTCCGAAACGGCTGGATCTATTTTGACGGGACTTTAATTGGCAGATAGCTGATGTCATAAGGAGTAACTTAGGCTACTTTTATTTTGAAAAAGAATTAGGGTTTCGCGCAAAAAAATAAAAACCCTAACACGCGAGCGAAGTCGCGGGGAACAGCTAATTTTATATAAATTCTTACTAATTTTTGTCGAAATAAGCTCGCATCTTGTAACCTCCTTTTACCTAATAATTTAGTTAGATATCAATAATATTAAGTTATTTTAATAATTTTTTAATAAGTTGGTGATGTCTGTTGAAAATCTTATTTTCTCTTATTGTTTATAGAATGTCTTCTTAGTTACCGAAAGGTTTTGATGTCACATAATATACGTTATACCTTTAGAGCATACAGGTCATAAGTTTTGTCAAAACCTTATTATTTAAAAATTTTGAATACTGGCTAGATGAACTTAAAATATAACTTGCCGAAAATAAAAAAGACATTAATTTGCATTCATTTTCAAATATGGAGTGGTCGAAGAAAGAAGATAGTGTAGCGGTTATCCCGTTGCACCGCTGTGGTTACGCGCCAAAAGAGATTTTCAATATTCTACAATAATTTAAAATAACCCTACGATTTGTTTATCGAACTATCAAACGATTCACTGAAGATTCAAGCTTCGAAGATCGTAAGAGGATCGGCAAACTTCGTACAGTTAGGACACCCGTGATCATCAAAGCAGTGAAGGCGCGAATTGAACGAAATCCTATTCGTAAACAAAAAATCTTAGCTCTTCAGATGGGCCTAAGCAGAACCACGGTCAAAAGAGTGATCTATGAAGTCCTAGGACTACGAGCTTATCGTAAGAAGACCGGACATTTTTTGAACGAGCGTTTGAAAAAAATTAGGCTGGATAGATACGGCGGTAAGCAGGAAAAAAGTGCCTCGAATTTTTTTTTTCGATTGAAAAAATTTTAACATCGAAGAAAGTTATAATAAACAAAATGATAAGGTGTATGCCCACAACAGTGAAGAAGCCAGCACGCGTATTCCGAAGGTTCAACAAAGGAAAAGTTCATGGTTTGGCTTGGAGTCTCATATTCAGGCTTAACTGAGATGTTTTTCTGTGAAAAAGGTGTAAAAACCAGTGCCGAGGTGTACCAAAGTACCCTCCTAACAAACATAGTGGAACCTCTTTCTCAAACAATATTCAAAAACAGACATTGGATATTCCAACAGGACTCTGTATCAGCTCATAGGGCACGAAGCACGCAAAAATGGTTGACCGCCCGTGGAATTGACTTTAACGGACATGAAGACTGGTCCTTTTCTAGTCCAGATTCAAACCCACTGGATTACAAGATATATCAACATTCGGAGGAGAAAGAAAGAATCTCTCCGAGCATCGTTGGCTAAAGCAGCGGCATAAATAGATATGAATATGGTGCGTGCTGCGATTGATGATTGGCCGCGTCGATTAAGGGCATGTATTCAAAATAGGGGAGGGCGTTTTGAATAATGTAAATAAAATTGTATTCTAAGTTAAATTACCTTTCATTTCATATATAATTTCTATATAATTATTAAAAAGTTTTTTACAGAACTTATATCCTGACTATGTAGTTGTAGCACTAATGGGTCGACTCGTCTGGGGAAGGGCAACGCTCTTACAGAATACCAGCATAAAATAGCAGCTTAACGTTGCTGCTGTTTCGTATGGTGAGTGTAGAGAACCGGTGACCCCTTCTACTGGAAACGAGGCATTCCATCTTAGTCCTAAGGCTTACAATGCATCTGCATTTTGAGTTTTTATAGAGAATAGATGCAGATGTCTATGGGCCACAGCATCCACTTATCATTAGGTGGACTGTGTGCTAGTTTGTCACCCTTATTCTTTAACAAAAAACTTAATCATGTACATATGTTGTGTATATTAAAAAAATATTATCATCGTTGATTATTATTCACTATTTTATTCACTTTTCGAAAAGATTAATATGTATTACATGTAATTAACTTACCGAAATTTGCTTGCTTTCCACAGGATTAGGGTATTAGGCAAGGACCTTTGTAGATTGGTTAGAAGAGAAACTGGGATTGTTGTGTGATCCGTCTCGCTCGCTCTTCGCTCCCTCGAGCTTCTACTGATCCTACCTCTTAGATTATATTCAAGTAATATCAATGTGGAGCATTTATTTTGTTAACACGTAAGGACATTCGTGATGTAGTGATATATTTTGTTACCAACTACGTAGGTTTAACTTTTGTTAAGGTTTACGATTCCGTTTATTGATTAATATTATTGTGAATATTATAGATACACTACGTAAAACATTTTTATTTTTGTATAAAGAGAAACTATTTTTCTGTGATATGAAACGAAACCGCAGCTATCGTTGTCAATTTAGTTAGTATTTGTTCGCAATAGCGGTCCCGTTGTGGGTATATCGAGATGTCGACTTTGTAGCTCCGGTTTTTTATACCATAATATATATTTTCATTTCTCCTTTACCAAATCTAGCTACGTTAAACTAGTCTTATGAAAGGAAAAAATTTACCCGGATAATTTCATATTGATGTCATCAAAGTGAAATTGCCTTAGTTTTCAAAAGTTTCTCATTAGAATATACAAAATTTATTTCATTGCACGCCTCTTTCTATATTGACTATGTACCTTTTTATCATTAAAATAATTTATATAAGGCGCTTTGATATTTTTATTTTATGAATATAGTACATCTCACTATCTGACCCTAGAGTATTATTTGATATACAATCATGGAGTTACTAATGGGGGCAGTAATACTTGATTATACATTTTTCAATTTAATAATGAAAGTAATGTACTTGGACAGTATATATGACATATTCCCCCCCTTTTGTAGGTTCATGATTATGAACTATTTATTATCTTTATGATAATAATATTGTCATGGGGCTGCATACATGTGATGTGCTGTATAATATAAAATAGAATTCGCTATAAAATACTCAGGTATTATTGTACAGCTATTTTTTCTTATCTAGATTTATCGGCTTTTATTATATTTGGAATATGTATATAATGATGGAATTATATGCGCGTAACTTTTTGCATAGGTTTTTTGATAATCATGTATATTTCACACGTTTGTGTATCTTTTTATAAGAATAGGTGTAAAAGTGTATTTATTTATTTTATCATTAGAATTTGCGCTGGCGTATTTAGTGTAAAGAGCGAAACTGTGCTGTGTCGCAGTAGCGATTTAAGTTCAATTATGTTTGAAAAGTTTAAATGTTTAAACTCATTAACTTTGCGCTGTTTTTACGGTTAATATGGAAGTAATAATGTGAAATCTCAGACCAACAAAGGAAGAAAATGGAGCGCTGCGTACATTTCTAGTGATGCAAAAACCATGCTAACATGTTTAACTTATTGTAAGAACACGTACTTACGTACACACGTGCGTCTAAAATCATTTGCGTATGTGAATATTTACGGGCTGCTAAAGAAAGCAAGAGAAATCGGAAAGAAAGTTGGAATGAGGGCATCCACTTTTTCTGCCTACAGGGCGGCGCCACTTTACAGTGAGGTAAAATATTTGACAGATTTCATAGCGGGGACGATAATTTCTTAGGAAAATTTAATCTTTAAGGTTTCTTTCTGTATTATTAGTTATATTTTATATATTTTATATTAGTTATATTAGAAATGAGTAGACCAAACTATAAATATAACTAAAAGGCGATTTTTTTAAAAGAATTACAAAGTGCAAAAAATTAAAAATTTAAATTACTGACGCATTGTGTTGTGTATATAATACTCTAGATAATGATAAACTATTATTTAAAACTAATTTCTCAACTAACTGACATTGTGTAACAATAAACTTTACCTCAGTCACAACTAGCGACATCTGGTGAGTGGAAGATTATTAGCCCTCATTCACTTGAAATGTATCTATGCAGCGCTCCGTATATCTTCCTTTGTTGGTCTAAGTATGAAAATAATAAATGCCGCGACAGTATAAAGTTGTTAAAAAGGGCTTACGATGCTGTCAATGCTGTATAGTCCAGTGGTGATAAAAGTCTTCGACGAAAGTTGTGAAGCTTTTAAGATATTTATAATAATATTAGTATTTTTAATTAAATAACAGTGTTTTGGCCATTGCAGTTTACTTACTGTGACATAATATATACCTTTTGTCCTGCACTGCTTTTGATACAGGCGTGGATATTTCAATGCAGCAGTTAATATAACGTTATACACGCTTATAATATACCAAAAGCAAAGTTAAAAATTGTCATGTAAAGTTTGCTAAAAAGTTAGAATTCAAGACTGAAATAAAGGGGATAACCATCTCAATTTTGTCTATTTTATTGCAAATGTTCCATTAATAATATAAAAGGTATCATTTGTAATTGTCATTTAATTCGGTTGTATTAACAAAGCTTTCTTTTGGAATTATCAGCAATAAGTTCTTTTGACGTTA